AATAATTCTGGTCTCTTTAGGGGGCTGTTTGGAATTCCCAGAGTCAGTGTGAAGTAATGCAGAAGGATGCCAGTGGGGCAATGCTGCTGTTTCAGGTGGTGGTACAGTCACTGCATTTAAAGGCCGTGTGGGGAACCCACCTCAGTGCCCCTCCAGCTGTGGGTAAGGGTTCCTTGAGAGCCCTCTGTGTACGTAATGGGAAACGAGTTCAAGAAGTCTGTTCTTCAACTGCTTGTGTTTCTTGTGGAGGTGCTACCAATATTCTCCATCTAGTGGATGAAAGCAACAAAACACCATGGCTGCATCAGGTTCTGCGTGCTGCATTTGCTAGCTGAGCAGTTCTTGCTTGGTTCTTGCTGGTTTTCAGCTGTACAAATTGTACCATGTTTGTGCAAGGTGAATGGGGAGCTTGTGGTTGATGTGCATGGCCACGCTCAGTGCTGTGGTTCCTCATGCTGGGGTTGGGTTGGTGCACACAGCTCTGTTCCTGCCCGAGGTTGTTGTATGCTGTGTTAGGGCTGTGGCCAAAGGTGGGAGATTGGAGTTACCAAAAGACACCCAAGCACTACAGTGTCCTTCTGATCCCTGGCTGAACCAAAGATGTCCATATATTACACCAACTTTTAAAATAGTTAAGCTGCAACACGTGTAATTTTACCATGAAATTCATGTGGAACACGATGCTTCTGCATCCCTTTTAATTTGAGTTGAGAACAATAGAAACTAAACAGAACCTGGAGAAGATCAGAGTCCATTTTTTCTTTTTAGTTTTAAATAGTGATGAGAAGGTGCAAAATATGATTTTTTTTTTTTTTTCAATTTTTAGTTTTGAAAGTAACTTTTGACTTGGTATATTGAGGGACTGCAGCTTTAGAGCATCAAACTCTATGTTCTATTGCACCGCTGCTATTCTAGCTTCTTTGCATGCTTCAGCATAAGAACATAAGCAATAATGTGGCTTGTTGGTGTAGGAAGGCTCCATTCCAACTGAAATGACCTTAACTTAGGGAAAAGGCAGGCTTTGGTGTCATGAAATTGTTGCAAGCCTCAAAGCAAGACTAAAAAAGCATTGGTGTTCTGAACCTCCCAGTTCCATGGTAACTTCATGTATCCAACTAGGTGTTTCCCATCTCTCTGCACAGGACTGCTCCTGGGGGTTGTTTCCTTTAGGATGCAGCACGCTGGTGGCTGTGCCAGATTATAACTTGGGTTTGTTGGTTGTTCTTCATGAGGATCTCATGTGAAAAGCTGTGTTTTTTGCCCGGAGGGCCTCTTTCATGCTTCTACATAACTTGCATGAGGGTGGATCTGCATTCTCTAGTCCCTCTCTGCCCGATAAGCTCATCTCACTTGTGAACCAATCTGTGCACACAGAGGATTACTGCCCTTACTGCATGTGCAAAATGTGTTGTGCCATTCAGCTGCCTCTGTTGCATGTTGTAGCTCTTGGCAAGATAAAGGATCGTTGTCCCTTTGTGATGGGTGTTAGGCTACTGAAGATGGACTGCTTGGCAGCAGGGGTTGTGCTTAGAGGAACACAACCAAAACGGTGTCCTTGATTGAAAGGATGAGTGAAACGAAGAGGAACAACGCTCGGAAATGGAATGGCATTCCTCAGCCTTGTTTTGCACAGCTGGTAGTCAGTGTTGGCCATGGTGCAGAATGAAGGATGACGGAATTGTTTGATCAGCGTTGTGGGCATGGTGGTGACGGGACTGGATGGTCGTAGTGGGCTTTTCCAACCTGAATGATTCTGTGCCTTTAACAGTGCTAAGAAGTGCCAGCGAGGGGGTGATCTGTAATGATCTGCTCAAATAAGAGAAGTCCAAGTGCATGCTGTGAGCAGAATAAAGCTTTGGAGAACATCGGTGCTTTTTGAGAAATGCAGTGTTTGCCCTCGCTAATTAGCAGGAGAGAAGATCGATGTTCAGCACATGTTCTCCCATGTTAACAAGTCACTGGGTGTGTTTGGTTATATGGAATATAATGGATTATATGGATAATAATCTTTGGAATGATGCCCTGTGATTCTGTAAAGCCATCAGATATTTCAGTAAATGGGTTTGTTTACAAGCGACTGCTCAGGGGAATTACTCTGCATTAATGTTATAAAATGGATTAATTAAATTAAACCCATGTGCAGGTAAGGTAATTTAGAATTCAACTGACCCGAATTGGATTTAGTTGCTTACAAATAATAATTTACTTAATTAAACAAAGGCTGCTTTAAATCTAGAGTATCAGGTGTATCAGTGGGGGATAAGAGTGCTCACAGGGATGCAATGTCCCCATGCCCCCCCCAGGTAGCACTGCACTGGCCCTATAGGACTCAACCTGCATGCTGCTGGGGGGAAGCAAAGCAGGCATGTTTCCTTCCCTATCGAGGCTTATCCCAAGCTTTTTGCCTTATCACTTTTCTCTTTTTCTCTTATCACTTCACATTTGCTCCAGGTAATGTTTCATCATCAGGTTCTTAATGTGTGCACTTCATTTAAAGTCGGTGGGGGCAAAGCCTGCAGCCAGAAGGGGTAAGTAGGGAGGGCTGGGGACATCTGGCTAATGTTAGAGGAAATATTTGGCTTCCAGAAATGGTGGTGAATACTTCACCAAGTAAAATACGTGGAAAATGGATTGAGGAAACTGTTCTGAGTTTGTAAGCCGAGGCTTTTCAAAGGTGGTAATTTAACAGTATCACATTCATCGTTCATTCGTCCTTGATTCTGAAGTCAAGCGTTGGTCATAAGGTTCTTTAGCCTGCTGTGGGAGTTTTCAACTGTAAGTTGAAATGTGGAATGGGGAAGAGTTATTCCCAGTTGTGGAAGCTGCTATGGCTGCAGTAGGCAGTGCAGCTCGCTCAGGCACTGCTTCCATCAGCGCCCTGCTCCACTCTGCAGCTCGCTGAGTGCGCCCACAGCACAGCTATGTTCTGTTCCACCCACAGAGAATCCAAGAATGGGTTCTGGCCTGATGCTGGCCAACTGCCCAGCAGCAGTGTGGGATTCCTTGAAACTGTAATACAATGTGTTTAAATGGAAATAAATATTGATGTTACGAAGAAACATTGCTGTGTGTGTGTAATGGCTGTTTTCCCCATCAGGACTTTGTAGCCGTGCTGTTGTTTAAGGACTAGCAGAATCTTTCAGGGCTAATTTTCTGATCTGAGGTTGAGTGCTTTGGGCTGTGACCCAGGGGAGATGCAGAACAGAGGTCAGAAGCGTGAAATTACCCTGTGTTTGTGTTTAATTCATCTCAGTCATTTCACGATGAGTTTTGGAGAGCTAAGTACGTCTTAGAATGGCTTGCAAAGAATAGAAATGCTTTGGAATGATTTACGAGTTACTGATGTGTTTGTGGTTAGAATGCAACACAAAGCATCAGCGAAATCCAACGTTGTGTAAATGGCTGAAGTTCTCAAAGTTGGGTTTTGTTGCAGTCGGTCCATTTTTAGCGCTTCAACTCGAGGGCCGGGTTCTCAGTACTGCAGCGTGTGACATTATGGCCAGTAACTGGAGCACAGCTGCTTTATGATGTTAGGACTGGCTGCGGGCCAGGGTTTCTCAGAAATGGCAAATCTCATTTGCCAAATGGCACCCACACTCTCTAGGACATTGCCAGCTTTCTCGGGCGCGCAGCCACGGCCGCGCAATCCCAGCCCGTTTTTCACCACCATCAGAATTGTAAATGACTCAACGTTGGCAACACTGATATTTTGAGTAAACAGTTCTGAGATGTGGGGAGTCCCAGTGTGGAGATGGGTGCTGACATTGCGCCGGGCCCCCAATCCTTCCCAAGCTCCGATGCTCTCCCAGCGCCCCATGCTCCACCTGCGGGCTTTAATGGCTTTCTTGTGTTCCAATGGAAGAGGGAAATTTTTATGCAGAGCTGGAGCTGGTTCAGAGTCAATGTGAAGGGATGAATTACCGTTTCCACTGGTAAACCTCAAATTATTTTACTTGTGTTTTCTGCTTCAGGTTGGGAAATGGGGGAAAAAAAAAAAATAATGTTGACCGATCTCTTTGTGTTTTATGCCTGTCCTTTTATGGCTGTGGGAAGGAACAGATACGGCCGATTCCAGTGATTGTAATTCAGTTTTAGAGGCTAAAAAGTTTCTCTTAAAACCCTAATAAATAACGTTGATGGAGGGCTCGAAGGGAACAGGGCTGAGAAATCAGGAAATATTCTGAAAATAGCTTCATTGGAATCAGACTGTAGAAAAAACAGATTCAACAGCCAAAAAAAAAATGGAACTTTTGTTTCAATCATAGAATCACAGAATCACAGACTGGCCTGGGTTGCAAAGGAGCACAGTGCTCATCCAGCTCCAACCCCCTGCTGTGTGCAGGTCACCAACCAGCAGCCCAGGCTGCCCAGAGCCACATCCAGCCTGGCCTTGAATGCCTGCAGGGATGGGGCATCCACAGCCTCCTTGGGCAAACAAGCTAATTTGCAATTAGCAGCAAGAGAGCTCCCAGTCCTCGTTGAATTTGGAGGCCTGTTACAGTCTGTACGGGGTAGGAGCCTGTGTGTGTATGGATCTGTGCAGATTTGTGTGCTATTGTAGCATCAAGGGTTGGGTCTGAGTGCTTCCAAGAGCCAAGTGATAGTTTGCAAATTAAAACCTCAGAATTTACAGATAGATTTGTGTACTCTTACAAGCCTTTAAAGTAGAAGATGTCAATACATTGGAAAGAAGACATTTTCTCTTGTGTTTTAGACCCATGGGCCGCCAAATCACTGATGCTAACCCACCTCTTTATCCGTTGGGAATATGTAGAAAGACTCAGCAAGAAAGGCTTGCAGCGTGGTCCTGCTCCTACTGTAGAAAGGTTACTTATGGAGGTGATGCCCACAGTGCAGCTGCTGTCTCTTTGGTGAGGTTTCCAATTAGCATGGCAGTTTGTGCCATTGTATGAGCAGTTTTCTTTCATGGCCATGAGAAAAAGTGAGTGCTGAATTGTTATATATCAGGGATTAATGCTCCTCTTGCTGCTGTTTTTCAGGATTGCATGTCTCGTAAAACTGCTTGTTTGGGGGCCTGCAGTGGTGTTTGACTGCAAAGTGCAGCCTGGTTCTGAATGATGTCAGAACAGGATCTGGCAGATGTTGTTCAGATTGCCGTTGAAGACCTGACTCCAGACAACCCAGGTACAGTATTACCCACTGACAAGGTGGAAATCACTCCTGAGCTTTTCCTTTTAGACATCTGAAGTGCTTATTAAGACTAGCAGCTGAATTTGAACAGCTTGCTTTATGCATCTTTAATACCCTTTGGATCAGATTATTACTCACGCATAGGTGAGTAAGTGTTGGTAGAAATGGATTTCAGTGTTGGATAGAAATGTTTTCTAGAACAGTAGCCACAGTTACAGAAAACACAATCTCTTATCAAAAACACCTCTTCTGATGCAGAAGGAAAAAGTTTGTTTAGAAATGTTTCCCAAGAGTTGGAGGAGCAGCTGAGGGCTGCCTGCCCCAACCTGGCTGGGAACCTGCTGGGCAGGATTATCACCCACAGCACACGGTCTGCATAGCCAACTATTGATTTGGGAAAGCCTGCAGCATTTTGTTAATGTGTTTTGGGGAAAAACTATCTATTGCTACCCTGCATAGAGTGGGGGAAATCCTGTGTTTGTTAGAACTTCATTAGCACTGCTTACGGTTTTGTAGAGTGTTGGGGTTTCAGAAGCCAGTGGATCTGTCGAAGCAGAACAGCTGATGTGGCAACTCTGCTTCCTCATGGTGAGTTCCTAATTAAAAAAGAAACAATATCCAAGGTAACACCCAAGCTTTACACCCTCAGTGGGGCTGAAATTGTCTTAGATCTGGATAATAATTTCGTGAGAAGTAGTAAGCTGTTGTCATAATTTAACGCAAATAAGTTTGAAAAAAAAATTACAGTATGTTAACCAGACTCCTTTTATATTCTTTGATTTGTCCACTTAATGCATTTGTAACTCTTGTCTCTTGTGGAATGTGCCATGGCATATTTTTCTTTGCAGTTGTGTTGGCGAATCATGAAGTGACAGACGATGATGTAGAGCCTACTCTGAAACGTCAGCGCATAGAAATCAACTGCCAGGATCCCTCTATTAAGGTTACCATCAAATCTTTTTCTGTTCTTATTCAAACAACCAATTAAGTAACCTTTCCTGGGGGAAACGAACCCATTATATGTATGTTTCTGTGTAAGGCTGGAATTGTATCCTTCTTGCAATGTACATTCATTTATCTGCAGAAGTTTTAAAATCTAGAGAACTGGTAAATCTCTGGGTGTGAAATCAATAGCTAAAAGGTTATGTGCAAAATAAAATATAAGCAGAGTTAATTCCAGTGACCCAGACATCATTTTGATGAAGTGAACTTGACCCAGAGGATAAACTTGATATAGTGTATGACAGTGCCCAGATATGGTTGTATACACATATAGGTAATATGTATCTAAGATGAATATTTTCATCATCGTTACAACATGCAGCGTGTTTAAAATTATTTCTTCAGCTATCAGTATTCTCCTGAGAGTTGAACTGTATTTGGTTCAGGTTCAGTTAGCCCAGCCTTCTCTGTGCTCACAGAGCTTGCCATGCTGACCTGGTGCCTGTCCTCCTCTTGGGCATCCCTGCCCATGGCAAGGGGTTGGAGCTGGGTGATCTTTGATGTCCCTCCAACCCCTGCTGTTCTGTGCTGCCCTTACCGGTGTAATTTAGTCGTGTTTTTGTCTTGGTGCTTAAGTGAATGAGTTGTATTTTGCTGCCGTGTTTGTTCAGTGCTATGTGATTCGGTACAGAAACTCATAGAACAGTGGAGCTGTGTGTTTAGAGCAGCCGATGGGCTGTGTGAATTGCAGCTATGGGCCACAAGATGGCGTGGTTGCTGTTTGCAGACAAGCACGTGTTACCCTTCAGTAGCCTGTATTTCCCCAAGGGAAACCAAGTGGAGTATGCTTTCTTTTAAATCAAATTGCTTAGGAAAACAGATTTTACTTATTTGCTTTTCCTGACTTGCTGTTCAGGAGAAAACCAAAGTGAGCGGTGTTTGTCATCTCTGAAGTGATTTGTGTTGAAATAATTTCCACTGTAATCATGTGAATTTATCTGTTTGGACAGGAAAAGAAATCTTAACTTTATCCAGAAGGATGCTTTCAGATGTTTATAATCCTTTTGTTTTTAAATACTTCGAATGAAAGGCACTGGCACGTTATTTTAAATGACTGTGTGGTGTATGAAATCATACTAACAAAGTGCTTAGGTGCAAATGTATTTGGCTTGAATGCTTTTGGCATCTAAATAAGGATCTGGATGAGTCTGAGAATGCTGAAATGCTCCTGGATGTCATCAGTTTTGTCCGTGGCTGAGTTTAGTCACTAGGCACACTGCTAGTTACTTTAGAGTCGTTTTCCAGTCGCACTTATCTGAGCTTCTCTATGTGTGTGTTGCTTGAAGATAAATGTGTAAGTTTTTAAAAGCAGTTTCTCTTGCTTTCTCCCCTTTCTAGTCATTCCTGTGTTCCATTAATCAGACAATATGCCTGCGACTGGATAGCATTGAGGCAAAGTTGCTGGCTCTAGAGGCTACCTGTAAATCACTGGAAGAGAAGTTGGATCTTGTCATGAACAAACAGCACAGCCCCATCCAGGTCCCCATGGTGGCAGGTTCTCCTCTTGGCGCTACACAGACCTGCAATAAAGTACGATGGTAAGAAAATAATAATGTTGTAAAAATAACCTAGATCCATTTCTCTGGCATCCAGCTCGATGGTTTTCCATATGGCTGTCAGGATCTCAGCGTGCTGCTTTTGAGTGTGGAATGAATTTCTCAAAGGCAACTTTTGTACCGATGTCGTGATGTTACCTCTAGTTAGAGTAACACTAATCCCATCACGCTGAGCCATGGACAGTTTGCAACAGTTTCCACGTTTCATTTTGGCTTGAACAAGACAGATTCATCCATCCAAAAGTCACATTGGCTGTTTTAGATGGTTTTGAAGATTTGCTTTTATTTATTTATCTGGTTGCTTTGAGTTAATGAGTTCATCGTTCTGATTACTTCACATTTTCATCTGCCAGAAATACAGTGGAGTTTGTTTCATGTGCTTGTTTTCTAAAAAGACAGTCAGTAGAACAGTGTCTGTATTTGTTTTGGAGGTAGAAATCTGAGATGGAGAATCTGTTGAATAATCAAATCCACCTTGATGAAGGGGCAGGTTTGACCTGGAGCACCTTCATGAGTTGCCTAATGTGGTTCCAAGTATCTTAAACATTGATGTGCCTATCATGTAACCATGGATATTTTTCCAGCCAGAGAAATATGATGATGAAGAGACTTTTTGTGTAACAACTTTTCCATCACTGATAATTTTATTCCTAGGAAAAACTTGATACTTCTCTAAGAAATTACTGTTTATTTTCTATTGTAACTGTGTAACATCCATCAACAACGTTCTCATAATGCCACTGTAATCAAAGTACACGAATGTAAATTGTCTTTTGTCAGTCAGATTTTCCACTTTCTGATCTTTTTCATCACCCATTCTGAACTTCATACTTGAAAAACACTGTGTAAGTTATGCTCAGTGCAGTGTTCTGAGTGCACTGCTTTAGAGCTGCACAGAAAACATTAATTCCTTTCTTCTTGTCGTGAGGGGCATCCATCTGAGATAAGCAAACACAAACCACCAACATTAGCCTTTTTCTATTATGCCATTACTTGCTCACTGCTGTATTTTATTAACTTTTATTATTGATATTTTAATAATTGAGATACATTCTTTAACCTAAACTATCAAGCTCATAATCACGGTTTATTATGATATCCTGCAGTTCATGCCTTTATGAGACAAGGTGGAATATAAGCTTGTCACCATAAGAAATGAATGTTTCCTGCCTGGGTGACCACTCTAACAAAAGCGTAGTTGCCCATGGCTTGGCAACCAGCTGCTGGTAGAGCTGACTAAATACAAGCACAGGTTCTTCATCTGTATTTGGAAATAAGGCGGTCAGAGTTTCAAAACTAAAAGAATGGAGGGCAAGGAGTGCTGGATCACACAGAGCCGTGTTGGGCTTTGAGAAGAAGAGCCAAGAGCAGCAGCAGCGTAACGCCGTGAGCTGGTCGTGGCATCGTCCTGGTGCTGGGAGCCGTGTCCAGCTCTGTGCAGCATTAGCACGGTCCTGCTTTCCCCTCCACGAAGTGATTACGTCTCCTCCTCTGTCTGCAACGTTTCCTGCCAATATGGCCATTAGAAATACCTAATTACTTTTCTTTATGAGGTACCACGCTGTTTGAAAATCCCGGTAGCTGCTGAAAGCTTCTTGGCTAGCAGAGCTGGTGCGGTGCCTGACGGCCGTCACAGTGGCAGCCCCACATGATAAGTCTGAAACGCAGCGTGTGCCCAGCCCTGAGATTTATAAGTTGATGAACGTATGGTGTGACAGCACAGCTGAAATCTTCTACCCGTGTTTTAAAGGAAATCTTTCATCTTGAAAGGTTTCAGTCCAGAAACGGCGTTATTTTGGTTAGCATCTTTCCATTAATCATTCCTCCGAGTGAGTAAGCCCAAGTATAAATGGTTCAGGTTGATTGCTTTAGATAAGACAGGAATTTGTTTTGGTTTCACAGAACTCTCTCCCTCATTTGTTTTTCTGGATGCTTTCTGCCAATGTTACGTTGTGCAATTCTGCTGTGTTCTCAAGGATGTAATTTTTTTATTGCTGTTAAATCAAGGATAATGGTTTTTGAAATGTATTGATTTTGGACAGGATTTGCATTTAAAATTGGTATTTTCTTCACAGTTGTAAAAACATTTCTGATGAAATATGGGAATTCATTTATAAGTAGGGTTTCTCTTCTCTTCGGATCTTTCCTTTGAACATTTGTCACAGTGAAGTTAAAATAGAGTTGGGGATGTACTGATCACCAAAGGTGGAGATGGAATTTCATGTATTTCTGCCTTTAATGGGAGAGTTCAACGCAACTGCAGAGTTCTGTGCAGTAAGGGCCTGGCATGGTGTCCTTGAGCAAGACCTGCTCAGGGGATGGATGTTGACCAACTCAAGCTGCCTGTGGCTGTCCTGGCTGCCATTCCCTTCTGGTGGTTTGGTCAGCTGGTTCAAGGACACTGTTCTTGTCTTTTTTTGTTGTTGTTGGATTTTTTTTGGTCTTGAGGTATAGGAAGATTTTTCTGTGCAAAACAGAAGGCTTGATGCAGTTGTGTACCAGATAGAGTGTAAGAATTTCTGTATTTTTGTAGGTGTAGGTCATTAATATGTTTGTGACCACTCAGATTAATGAAGGTATTGGTGTAAAAACCAAATACCTGGAGTTTTTTGTATGTATTTCTATGAATTACAACTCCCTGAGCCAACCTAATTTCATGTTATCAGGAGTCCAATGGCTTTTTCATTTTTGTTGCCTCTTTATCATAAGGATTGTTATTGATTTTAACGAAGTATCCAACAATACTAATCCAGGCTTTCAAAAAGAATTGTAATTCTTCAGTTCTTATCATTATATAGTGGCTGCTGAGGCTCTGGGGAATGTAGTTAACCTCTTTTCCACATAGAATCATAGAATGGCCTGGGTTGTAAAGCACCACAGTGCTCATCCAGCTCCAACCCCCTGCTGTGTGCAGGTCACCAACCAGCAGCCCAGGCTGCCCAGAGCCACATCCAGCCTGGCCTTGAATGCCTGCAGGGATGGGGCATCCACAGCCTCCTTGGACAACCTGTGCCAGTGCCTCACCACCCTCTGGCTGAAAAGACATCATTCGTTAGGCTACTCTCTGAGTTTAATTTCAGGCTGTTTTTTCTTTCCTTTTATGATTCATTGATAAAGTAGATCAGCACTGTAAACCTTTGGGGTAGTGAATATCTGGAACCAGAGGTGAGAGCTTGACCATTCCTTCTGAGAAGTCTGAAGGTGTTTCATTTGCAGGTGGAATTTTTTCAGGTTGCCCCAGTTTGAAACAAAGCAGATATTGAGGGGTACAGTATCATGAAAGACATATGGCATAAGGTTTATTTTTCAAGTTACAGGTACGTTATTCTGCCTGCTGTGAGCCTGATCTCACACACTGAACTTACGCCTGGAAAAATATTTCTCCGGTTCCACATTCAGCCCTGAAGGCAACTCAACAGCCCTTTGTGTTGGAAAATATGTAAAAGTAAGCCAGATTCAAGGAGGAAAAAAAAAAAAAAAAAAAAAAAAAGAAGTCTTAAAAGACATTGCATTGTTTGGGGTGGTGACCAGAACGTATTTGGAGAATCTTTGGGAAATATTTGGAGCTTTTCAGAAATTCTTGTCACTTTTTATAAGCAAACGCTGTGTGTTTATCCATTGGGATGTCTGATGGTGGGGCCTCTTTCCAACGGAGCTCTCAGTGCAGCCCTTGAAGTCTGGGAGTGGCTGAGAAAAGCACAGATGAGCGTCTGTCATGGTTTGGGACCGGACCCTGCGCTATCAATCAGCTAACCAACATTCCCCCTTATTTTCTGTTGTCGATCAGCGGCGTTGTGTGCAAACAAACTTGTTTTAAATTAGCAGGTGGAGTGTCATACCTGCAGCTTCAGCCAGTAGGAGTTCTGTTTGTAATTAATGGGATTGTGTCATGAAGAACTGAGGGGGGCCGTGCTGCCCTTGTGTTGAACAGCTCTTTGTGCACCCGTCCAACCCGCAGGCGTTGTGCATGGGAAGGAAGATGGCAAATCTGTACCATTTCAGGTACATCCTCCATCAGGGGGCACAGTCAATAATAATAGTAATTAAATAATAAGCAAAATAATGCTGGCATTTTGAAAAAACACAAAATCAACAACAGAAAAACAAACCGTTTGAGACAAAGCTGAAGTTTCACTCGAGGAGCCAGGGCTTTGTAATTGCGTTCTTTGCCCTGAGATGCTGTTACCTTCATGCCTTTTTTTTTTTTTGGCTTCTGCTTTCAATTCTACCTCTCCTTTTCCTTAAATCCCTCCCAGCAAAGACATAACAGAGGGGTGAGTTTCTTACACAGCCGTTTTTGAGTATGCAGGCATACACAGTCGTTAGGTTTCAAGTGTGAGGTGTGAGCTCTGTGGTTTTCTTTAAGGAAGGAAATTAGCCACCTGCTCCTTACAACCCCGGCAAGCGTTCAGCTGTGTGGTAGCCTGGAGGAATTGTTGTGGCTTGAAATGCATAAATTAACAGATTACATCCCCAAATAACTTGCTGAGGTGTAGTAGGTGTGTTTGTTTGTGAAAATTACTTTCTCTTACGATTGCAGTTCAATGTCGGGAACTGAATTTAAGCAAAGACTGCAGTTCTGCAATGAGACAGCAGCCCCCCGGTCCTGAGCTGCATAGCGTTGGCTTTTGGCTGCACTGTGAACAAAGTATTTAACGTCTGATTCCCTGAAAAACACACTGTAACCCTTTCCACAATCTCCTGGTCCGTCAGAAGAACTCATCAGCCTCAACTTCTTTCAAGTGAATCCGCTCCTCAGCGGTAATCATTCCGACTGACATCCTTCAAATGCACCGACACGCACGTTTCAGTTGCTGGTACACTCTGTAACTTCAGCAAACCTCTGTGATTCATTATGCTTGGGACTGACACATCCTTATATTAAAAATAGTTGAGGAACTCTCCTGACTCTGATTTCTATTGCAGTTCGCTGTATCCGGCAAGATCTACAGCAGCCGTGCTGCAAGCAGTCATAACTCTTG